AGCCGGAGCATTACCGCCTGGCCTACCGCACGCGTGGGCTGTACCGCCCACAGTGCCCTTCGGCGTCCGAGACTTTACTGCCTGCGGCGCCACTTGCAAGGGCTCCTGTGCTCCTGCCCTGTGGGGTGTTACCACCCCCGTCGCTGCACAGTGGGGCAGTACCGCCCGCGTTGTCCGAGGTATTACCACCCCAAACGTTGCTATTTTGGGCTTTACCGCCCTGTGGCATTGACGCTAACAACCCTTACCGGCCACCGGCTTTTGGAACCATATCCCCGTGTATGCGCAATTCTCGTGTGCGCGAGTTTTTTTTGCCTGCTCGCGCCGCAGGGGCGCGCTGTTCGAGCCGGGGTGGCTGGAGCCAGAATGGCTACGGCAAGGGGGGGTCCCGCAGCTTGCGCCGACGTCTGCATAAGACAGGTAGGCTCGACAAGACGAGGAGGAGGGAGCATTCGAGGAGAGTTCACTGAGGACGCGTGCTGAACTCTGCACAAGCCCACGAACGGGCAGATGATAAGTGTGGATGCCACCGGCCCTGCCCACCATGAGCCTCCCAACAAATGTACGGGACGCGAAGGCGAGAGACAATTTTGAAAACGAACCGCCCTCCATCAATGACACTGCTCTTAACTTTCAAGACGAGCTTGTGCGGCGCTCTACCGAGAACAACATCTTGAAATCGGCACGCCCTCCAGGTGTGAAACTATTTCAACTTTAAAGCTTCGCGATCACACATGGTGAGAAGTCTCAAGCGAAACGCCCAGCCCCCCTACCGACACGTGTGGGGGTGCGACAGGGGTGAGTTACTTAAGGCAAGCAACGGAAACACATGGAGGAGGAGGAGGAGGAGGAGGAGGAGGAGGTGGAGGAGGAGGAGGAGGAGGAGGAGGAGGAGCGAGGAGCGAGGAGCATGAGGAGCGGAGGAGAGGAGAGGAGGAAAGTAGGAGCGAGGAGGAGGGGCGAGAAGGAGCGGGGAGGAGGAGGAGAAGGAGGAGGAGCGAGGAGGAGGAGCAAGGAGAGAGGAACGAGGGGGAGGAGGAGGAGGAGGAGGAGGAGGAGGAGGAGGAGGAGGAGGAGGAGGAGGAGGAGGAGGAGAAGAGGAGGAACAGGAGGAGGAGGAGGAGGAGCGAGGAGCGAGGAGCGAGGAGGAGGAGGAGGAGGAGGAGGAGGAGCGGGGAGGAGCGAGGCGGAGCGAGCGAGGAGGAGGACGTGGGCGGCCCTGCGCCGCGGCTCTTCCCAGACCGCTGACGCGTTGCCACCGCGCGGGGAGGAGGGCGCTCTCGAGCGGCCTCGCGAGGGACTGGTAAAGCCTCGGGTCGCGTGCAGACAGCTTCCGAGTAGGGAGGGGATCGACTACACACATAATGGACTTACCCCCAACTTGATGTTTTCCCCCGTCGAACCTGCGACACATGCGTGGAATGCTCGTAGGTCTACGGGCATCCTGCGCATGTCTTGCAGCTTCGACGAACAGAGTCAGCTTCTGGGGCAAATCGCTTCTGTAGTTAGAGGCCTCCTAGGTGGGTTCCGAGTAGATGGGGTCGGAGGATCGCGCCAAATCGCCAATGCATCGGCGATGCAATGGCGATGCATCTGCGATGCATCGCCGATGCGCCGGCGACGCATCGTCGATGTCGGCGATGCATCGGCGACGTCGATGTGAAGCAAATCGGACTCCACATCGAGCCGCATCGGCGATGCGGTGCGATCCTCCGACCCCATCTACTCCGACCCCATCTGGGAGGCCCAGAGTCGTGGAATCCCCTACTCTGATGGGCCTGTTTTCCACCACCACCACCACCACCATAAGTTGGAGGGGGGATGGAGGAAGAGGGGGTGGTGGTGGTGGAGGAGGAGGAGGAGGTGGAGGAGGAGGAGGACCCCCTCCCCCCTCCAACTCATGGTGGTGGTGGTGGTGGTGGTGGTGGTGGAAGACAGGCCTATCATACTCGACGCCTCCCGGGCGGACCTGGCCGGCCTCCGCGTGCCCCTCGACAGCGGGCCCCCGGCCGGCCTCCGCCGGCCCACGCCCCCGCCGCGTGCGGGGCGGCCGCCTCCACGGCTCCGCCCCCGGGGCGGCGCGCGAAGCGCCCGGGGGGGGGGGGGGCCGCCGGAGGCGGCGACGGGGCGTCGAGGCCGCCCCGGACTGCAGTGTGCGGCCTGAGCTAAGGAGCGGCACGTATATGTGTTGTGTGGTCCACTCAGACGTGGAGCTCTCGGGGACAAGAAGGGTGCGGGGACGGGTGCGTCCAAGGGTGCTCGAGCGGGTGCGCGAGCGCCGCGCGCAGCGACCGTCTGGAACCGAACCTTTGCGGTTGCGGTGAAATGTTCACGCGCGTGCGCTCGACTTTGGTTGTTCTTTCGTCGTTCTTTGGCTTCGTTCCACATATATATATATATATATCGGAGGTGAGGGGGTGAGATCGAAGTGGAACGGAGAGCCCCCCTACCGGGAAATCGATTTCACCGGGCGGCCGGTGGCGCGCGGTGTCCCGCCGGTGTCCCGGTGGTGTCCTTTGTGGCTGAGGCGCGGCCTGACCAAATGATTCTCCACCGGGCGGCCGGTGGCGCGCGGTGTCCCGCCGGTGTCCCGCTGGTGTCCCGTCGGTGTCCCGTCGGTGTCCCGATCATGATTTTGATGATGATGATGATGATGATTATGATGTTGACGATGGCGATGATGATGATGATGATGATGATGATGATGATGATGATGATGATGATGATGATGCTGGTGTTGTTGATGATGATGTTGACGTCGATTGTGAGATCGATTGTGATATCGATAGTGAGACCGAATGTGAGATCCATTGTGAGATCGAGAGTGAGATCGATTGTGAGATCGATAGTGAGATCGATAGTGAGGCCGAATGTGAGACCGAATGTGAGATCGACTGTGAGATCGATTGTGAGATCGTTAGTGAGATCGACAGTGAGGCCGAATGTGAGACCGAATGTGAGATCGATTGTGAGATCGATACTGAGATCGATAACAAGATCGATAGTGAGATCGATAGTGAGACCGAATGTGAGACCGAATGTGAGATCGACTGTGAGATCGATTGTGAGATCGATAGTGAGATCGACGGTGAGACCGAATCTGAGACCTAATGTGAGATCTATCGTGAGATCGATTGTGAGATCGACTGTGAGATCGATTGTGAGACCGACAGTGTGATCGATTGTGAGATCGATAGTGAGATCGATAGTGAGACCGAATGTGAGACCGAATGTGAGATCGACTGTGAGATCGATTGTGAGATCGATCGTGAGATCGACAGTGAGACCGAATGTGAGACCGAATGTGAGATCAATTGTGAGATCGATTGTGAGATCGATTGTGAGATCGATAGTGAGATCGATAGCGAGATCGATAGTGATATCGATAATGAGATCGAATGTGAGATCGATAGCGAGATCGATTGAGTGAGACGTTGGTTCCCTTTCCCCCCTCACCTCCTTACCACCCGCAGGGTGGTCGTATAGGTATGTATATATATATATATATATATATACAAGACTGCAGTGGCGCTTCGCGCCATGCACCTTGGTCCTTGAAGTTTGGTATGCAGGCGGAATGACAGGAAGGTCAAACCGACAATTTAGCGATAACTCCTGGTTGCCTTTTCCGACATCGCCGCTATAATGATGTTATTCGTTATCCTTCCTCCATGCTTATTGTTCCTCATTTTCGCCATACCCTGCGCATTCTCCCCATCCTCCTCAGCTCTTTTTTGCGGAGGCTCCTCCTTGGAGAGGCTCTAGAAGCCTCACAAAAGTTGTTTCGGGCTTTCTTAAGGCCTTCTGGAGGCCTCCTGGGCGTATTCTGGGGGCCTCCCGGGGCTTCCTCGGGCCACCCTGCCTCCAACCGCCGTCTCCCTGAACGACCGAATCACGATTTGGAATTCTTCGGAGGGTGTCTTTGGGCCATCTTGGGCCGCCATGGAGCTCTCTGAGGGCCATCTTGGACCCGTGTTGTGTCGTTTTGGGGTTCTCTTGGACTGCCTGGAAGCCCTTTCGGATGGTTGTGGGGCGATTTGGGAGCCTCCCAGGCGGTTTCGGACGCCCAGAAGACCGCCGTCTTGGAGCGTCGGGAAGCCGAAAAGAGGAGAACCCCAAAATTCACCAAAAACCTATGGAACATCAATAATTTTTGCCTCGGGGGGCCTTCTTTGGAGTGCTCTTGGAGGCCTCTTTGGGGCCGTCCTGGAGGTCTCTTGGGCCATCTTGAGGTCACGTCGGTCACTCTTGGAGCGCTCTTATGCTGTCTTGGGGGTCTCTGGAACGTCTCCGATGACCCCCCTGATCGCCCTAAGTGTGCTGGGAAGGCTTGGCAAAACGCCTTGCGAGGCCCGGTGGCCGCTTCGAGGCCCGTCCGGAGGGCCCCAAAGCCCCAGGTCCCAGGAGTCCGGTTTTGGGGGGGGGGATGGGTTTTCCCCCCGCCCGGGCTTATAAAAATATAGGAAGAGGAATATGGAACGAAGCCACGTCTCTTGCAAGTCAACCCGGGAGGTACGAAGGAGCACCAGGGGGGCCCGCCGCCAGAGAGGTGGCGGAGCGCATGCGGGCCACAGAGGAACGGCCGGGCCCCGCTTGAAAGGCAAGCGTTCCCTCTTCAAGGCAGGCCCTGTACTCGGGGGGCCTGTTGGGGCCAGCCGGGACTACGGCCTGTTGAGGCCGGCCAAGACTATCTCTGGGAGGCCTGTTGAGGCCAGCCCAGGCCACCTCGGGGGGACATTTTGTGCGCCACCCGAAGCCTCACCGCGCGAGCAGCTCGCGCGCGCGAAGGCCTGCGCCGTCGCTCGTGGGTTTCCCTCAGATCCGGGCGTTGCGATTCAAATTGTTCAGTCCGGGCGTTGTCGCCCAGATTCGGGCCCCAGGACCCTCACAGATCGATCTGGTTCGGAACATGTGGCAGAGAGATGGGGTCTGCGATTTCTTGTGGTATCGAATTTTGGGGGCAACGTCGGATCTCAGAGTTGGTCAGCACCCGAGGAGTCCTTGCCGCCTCCTCCGCCGCCACCGTCGCCCGCACCACCTTGGGGAGCAAAAAGTGAAGGGCCACGATGCGGAACGAGTGGCTCAGGGGGGGCATCGACCCGATATCGGCGATGCATCGCCGATAAATCTGCACGCTCCTAGGCTGGGCTATCGAGCCCCTATCGGCCATGAGTGAGCGACAGGAGGTCGATGCATCCATCCCCCCCGGAGCCTGTCCACCCCCCCTGCCGTGGCCCCCGCGCAGAACTGCCCGATGCTGCGCCCTGGCCAGCACCTCGAGAGAGGCGGACCACGCCGCGGCGGCGGGGGACGACCCCTCCCAGGGCACGGCCCCCACAGGCGAGCACGAAGGGAGGGCATCGATATGGCTATGTCGGGCGTGTCCCCCTACAGGGGGATTTTCGACGAAAAATAAAAAATACCCAACAAATGCCCCAAAATGGCAAACAAATGTTCACAACAGAATCCCCAGATTATTTTTGGATAATTTTTGGGGTATCTTTCAATTTTTCGTCCAAAATCCCCCTGTAGGGAGGGGGACAGGCCCGACCTAACGAGATGGGCATACGTGCCCCGACTCGGGGAGCACCTCGTGGCATGAGCAGGGGCAAACTTCCGGCGGTCCGAGCGCGCTCCTCGCCTCGGCGCGGCCCCCCCCCCCACGGCGCCGCCCCCGGCGCGCGCTCCGGGCGCCAGCAGGAGGGGTGCCCGGCGCCGACCCGAGAATCCCGCGCGGACCTCCGAAGGTCTACGTTGATGCCATGATTTTGTTCCCCGACGATACGCCTTTTCTGTGCGATGCGCGGCCCGAGGGGTACCGACCCCTTCCTTGGGAGCTCGCCCGGCTTCCTGCTTGCGCGGCCCAAGGAGGCAGGAGAGCCCAGAATCGAATCGACGAGTCGGATCGGCGATCGACATGAATCGGATCGTCGGAAATCGGCAGCGGAGTCGGGAAAAGTCGCATCGGCAGAAATCGGCAAGCTAGTGCGCCTCCAACAAGGACTCGGAACCCGGATCGGAATCCCGAGTCGAATCGGGTCGGAGTCGGAATCCATCGAAATCGACTCGAATCGAATCGGAGGAATCGAAGCGAGCCCTGAGGCCACGACCCCTTCCACGGGGGAGAGCTAGTCGCCCCAGATCCACGTTCGATGGCCCCCCTTTCGGGGGCCCTGCAACGGGCCCCCATAGAGGGCGGCATCGAGGAGGCCGTCTGGCTTTGGAGAAGCCACGTCGTCGGAGACCCAGGGGCGCTGGAGGGGCAGCGACGTGCGGGACCAGCTCCCCTGACCTTCCAGAGAGCTATTTTTTAGCACTGGAGGCCTAAAAACCTAAAAAACTAAGCGAAACAGCCTAAAACCAAGACGTAGAGTAGCTCTAGGATAGGTTTTTAGGTCGGGTGCTATTTTTTAGCCCTCCTGGAAGGTCAGGGTCAGGGGGGGAGGGAGGGAGCATCGACCTGGAAGCAGCGAGACCCCTCGCCGGCAGATCGGCGCTAGGCCCCCCCAGTCGCGAACACGACTCCGCGCGGTCCTAATTTTAAGTCGGGCCTGTCCCCCTACAGGGGGGATTTTCGACGAAAAATAAAACATACCCCAAACATCATCCAAAAAATAATCCAAAAATAGTCTGGGGACTACTTTTTCAATATGTTTTGACCTTCTTGGGGCATTTCTTGGGTATTGTCAAGTTTTCGTCGACAACCCCCCTGCAGGGGGGACACGCCCGACATAATCCCAGTTGGGGGTGGGCTAGCAGGCCCCGATCGGCGCTGCGTGCGCTTTGTCGGGGGTCGATTGCAGCTCCGCCCGAGCCGCTCCCCGTCCCTGGCTGCTGCTCTGGGCCATGCCTCTCGGGCCTCCAGCGGCCCTTCGGGCCGACCCGGGCACCCCCGGAAGATCACTGGCAGGCCATCCTGCGGCTGGAACGACGCCATCCATCCACGAGAACGTCAGAAAGTGCGGAACAACATGAACCCCTGAGCCCATCCCCCCCGACGACGACAACAGAACGACGCCGACGAGGACGACGACGAGGACGACGACGAGGACGACGAGGACGACAACGACGACGACGACGAGGACAACAACGACGACGACGACGACGACGACGACGACGACGACGACGACGACGACGACGACGACGACGACGACGACGACGACTGGCGCCGGGGACGCTGCCCCTGAGGTTTGAGCAGGGACCGACCGTCCCGGCATTCCTATAGGCCTACCACGACATGTTCTTTGAACCCAGAAGCGTTCTCAGAACAAAACCAATGTTCTTAGAACATCAACCCGATGTGGTAAAACAGCGCAGTCGCAACCAGAACAAATGTTCTAAGCACATCTTGTGCAGATCACAAAGGTTTCTTTGAATAGTCCTTGGTAGTCCTGTAGGCAGGCCAGGCCGCTTCGCCACTGCTCGAGAGGTATGCGGCGGCACGCAAGAGTGACCCTGGGCAAAGAGTGACCTCTGTTGCGCGGCTGAACGGGGGACGCTGGGTGGCCCAACACGGGCGCGCAAGACGCTGCTATCGCATCGCGCTCGGCGATCGGGGGACTCCAATGGTCCCGCATCAACGGCCACCCCGGCGAAGGGCCATTCTTAGGCGTAGTCGAGGCATGCCCTTCTCCCCTGACCACCGCCTGCTGCCCCGGCGTCTCCGCCGCCGCCGGCCGCTGGGGCACCGCCGCCGCCCGCGTCCTCGAAGGCCGTCCTGGGGCCTCCTCGCCGCGGCGGGAGGCGGGCGCCGGGCGCGGCGGCGGCGGGCTCCTGCACGGGAGAGGGGGCGGGATGGGCGGGAGGGGGGCGTGGCGGGACGGGGGGGGGGGACGAGGGGGCGAGGAGGGGCAGGAGGAGGATAATGCGTGGCTCTGGGGGGAGAGGGGCAGGAGGAGGAGGAGGAGAGGAGGAGGAGGAGGAGGAGGAGGAGGAGGAGGAGGAGGAGGAGGAGGAGGAGGAGGAAGAAGAGGAGGAGGAGGAGGAGGAGGAGGAGGCGGAGGCGGAAGAAGGAGGCTACTCAGGAGGGGCAGGGATAGGGTGTGAGGGGGGATTTTTGTTCCCCCCGAGGCTCGTTCAAAGCATGCACCCGAGAGAGTCCGCAACCACCTCAATAACGGCACCGAAGCCCCGCTGAAAACATGCCCAGTGTGAGGGGGGCGAGAAGGGGAATCGGGATGATGCGTGGCTCTCGGGGGACAGGGGCATGAGGAGGAGAAGGAGGAGAATGAGTGGGAGGAGGGGGATAAGGAGGAGGAGGAGGAGGAGAAGGAGGAGGAGGAGGAGGGGAGGAGGAGGAGGAGGAGGAGGAGGAGGAGGAGGAGTAGGAGAATAAGGATAAGGAGGAGGAGGAGGAGGAGGAGGAGGAAGAGGAGGAGGAAGAGGAGGAGGAGGAGAACAAATCGCTGGGCAAGATTCGCATCGATGCCGTCCTCGCGGCACAGCCCGCACCCGCACCCAGCATCACCGTGAAAGTCGAAACCAACACAGCAACCCTGGGCGCAGGGAGGGCCGTCAATTATCAGGCGCACCTCGCGCCAAATCTGGAGGTCGCGGAACGGGCTCACCTCTCCAAGGGGAGCTGACCGTCAGCTGGCTGGGGTCCCGCAGGGCGGGACCTGACCCGCGCCTCCAAAGAGCCACTTTGCCGCCTCTTCCTCATGGTCACAGGGCTCCACCAGGGGCTGAGAGGACGCGCCAGGAGCCTCCGAGAGCACTTCTCCCTGGTCTCTCGGCGCGGCCACGGCAGACTGAGCAGGTCCATGGGTCCCAGGGTCCACCGCCTTCTGGCTCTTGGCTCTTGTCTTGGACTCTTTTTGCTACCCCCCGCGGCTCGATCAGAACATGCACCAGGGAAAACCCGCAACAGCCTCAAGATGCGCCGCTTTTTGGGGGGGGAAAGGGGCTGGAGGAGAAAGAGGAAGATGAAGAGGAAGGAGAGGAGAAAGAGGAGGAGGAGGAGGAGGAGGAGGATGAGGAGGAGGAAGAGGAGGAGAAGGAGGAGGGGGAGGAGGAGCAAGTGGAGGAGGAGGAGGAGGAGGAGGAGGAGGAGGAGGACGAAGAGGATACGCGACCTTATTTACGCAGGAGAGAAAGAGGAGGGACGCCATATGACCAGGAGGAGGATGAGGAGAAGGGAGAAGGAGGAGGATAATAGTAACGAGCATGCTCATAATATCGCTTCGAATGTGGAGCAGGAGGAGGGGATGGGGTTTGAGTGAAGGCGAAGAGGGGGACGGGAAGAAGTAGGCGAAGGAGGGGGGAAACGAGGAGGAGGATATGGAGGGGGGGGGAAGTAGGAGGGAACCTACGCGAGAACTTAGAAGGAGAACGGGAAGGGATGAGGACGAGGAGAGATCCTCTAGATTGTACCCCGCCAGCCGCGCGCGTAGCGATGGCGCGGCGCCGGGCGAGGCGAACAAGTCGTCCAGGGGGAGAACAGCCGCCTGGCGTTCCTCCTCCTCTTGCTCCTCCTCCTCCTCCTCCTCCTCCTCCTCCTCCCCTCATCGTCCTCCTCCTCCTCCTCCTCCTCCTGATCCTGATCCTGATCCTGATCCTGATCCTCCTCCTCCTCCTCCTCCTCCTCCTCCTCCTCCTCCTCCTCCTCCCCCCATTCGTCCTCCTCTCCCCCTCCCTCTTTTTCCTCCTGATCCTCATCCTCGTCTTGGTCTGATCTGGTCCGGTCGTGCGTGCTCAACGATGGTGCGTTGTGCCCATGTCCTGGGCAAAGGGCAGGCAGGGCTCTGGCAGTGGGGCAAATGCCCTGCGCGCGTGCCCGCACTGCGGGGGTCCGGGTCCCGCAGTTTCGCTTGCAAGGCCCCCGAAGCGCCGCGCCTGCCTCCTCGTCCGTTGGGGGACGCGAACGCGAGAGAGAGCTTTTTGTTGTTGCTGTAGGCGGCTGCCACACTAGGACCCCGCGGGGACTGGAGGGCAGGCGGAACAAAAAGTGCGGGCACACGAGGCCCCGCTTGGAGGCGTTCGAGAAAGAAACAGACGACCT